GTCTCCTGAGTTGCTTTGTACCTCACCGTTGCTGAGGCTGGTTTTGAACTTGCAATCCTCCTGCCTCAGCCTTTCTAGCCACTAGGATAACAGGTGTGCACCACCACTCCTGGCTAGCCATCATTTTTGTTGCTTCCTACGGATACAGCCCAAGCTTAGCCAACTGAAATAATTAGTTTTATAACTCAGCAAGACACATTGCTTAGAACTAGTCACTACCAGGATAAGTATATGGTTCATTCTAAGCAGTTATATCCCTTTGTGAAGATTTCATCATCCTTTTTGAAAATATGCAGAAAGAAAAACAAAACAGGTTTTCCAAAAAGAAAGAAAAGACAAGACAGTGCTCGGTGAGCTCTATGAGAGGAGATAATATTTTTAAGATCTTTTCTTTCTTAACAAAATTTGAACTTTAAGAATATTTTTCTTTAATCTAGTTTATAGCATCTATAATTTATAGATGCTATTTCTGACAAATTCTGGGAAATAAATGCTTTGGCTTTTGTTTGTTTGAATTTGTTTTGATCAAATTTTTGCAATCTAACGTACAAGAAAGAAAACTCCAGTTAACCTGGTTTTGTATTTATTTAGCATTAATCCTTCATTGTGTAGACAGCCATGATTGTGCCTGGCCAACAACCAAAGCATGGAGACCCATATGCATATGGTCTACAATAATTGTAGATAGGACTTAAAGAGAAAGAGATGAGTAGCTGACTTACAGAAAAGGAGGCAAGTGGCCTTCGAATATCATTACTCAGCCTATCCTTTCTGTTTCGTTTTAGTTAACTGTAATAAGAATCTGAATTTAGAAAAGGAAAGGACCAAGAACAGCTCATGAGTTTGATGGATTCAAAGTAAATGTCAAGGGTCAAGGAGCATTCTATAAAACTTAAAGAGATTTTATAAAGCTATCCAAAAGGTCAACCTTGCCCTTTGGCCACCATTTATTCTTTGATACATCAATGAACATCTTTATGGACATGCCAACTATTGGTAAAGCATCCCACTTGGTTTATGTCAGCATGTTCCCAACTGTCAACATTGTCCACCTCATATAATATCACCTCATAAGTGTGAAGATCCTTTATAATCAAGCCTCATATCTTTCCCCTCTATAAACAAAGAATTCAGTTAATCTAATCTTCCTTCAGAAGTTTGGTTCTTTTACATTCGGTTGTCATTGAAAATTAAACTTTATAAATACCCCTTAAAACATATTATAATATATTATAGCTTAGATACTGGCCTCTGATGTTCTTTCCCACTGACTGATTTCCAAATCTCTGGTTTGCCAGGAGTTCTGAAATGGGTCATTTAACTTCCCATTTAAATCTATCTCATCATTGCCAACTCTGGTCAAAGATACAATTTAAATTTAATTTACCTCAAATGGTTGAGCAGGAAGAATAAAAAGAACTCCCCCAAACTAAAACCAAAGTACTCTACATCTCAGAGTTTCAAAAATATTAACCAAAAAAAACAAAGAAAATTTTAATAATTAAACTCAGAGAAATTTGGGCTTTACACAAATTAATGTTGCTATGCATATTCAGAATGATGGTATATAGTCATTCTCCACATAGGACCACTAAGATTACTCACATTATGCTAAGTGGTTAGTTTCACCTTATAACCAAACAAAACTAACTCAATGAAATAAGTAATTTAGAGTCTACTAATTCAAGAATTTAGATATCTCTCTGTACATGCTAGTCCTACCCAAAAAGAAAGAAGGAAACTATCTTTCTAAGGTAAATCAGAAGGCCCTCTAGATTGAATATTACCATTATCAGTCAACCAAAATAACTAGAACTCTTCCCAGTAAGATCACTTATTTGGAACCTAGCATAGTACATGCCTTTTAGCCTAGAAATGTGGGAGACTCAGAAGATCACAAGTTCAAGGCCAGGCTGGCCAATTTAGTGAGACCCTGTTTCAAAATGAAAAATAAAAAGGGCTGAGGATGTAGTTCGGTGGTAGAGAACTTGTCTAGCATGCATGCAAGGCCTTGGGTTCAATTATTAGCACCAGAAACCAATCAATCAATCAATCATTTGTCTGCAGGGTCAGCCTTTAACTTTTAGAATAATTTCTGTGCATTAAACCTCCTAAAAATGATTGTTAATAATATGCTATGCTAATTTCTTTTCAGTACTCATGACAGCCAATGAAATGGATGCCACATGCCTACACAATGGATTTCAAATGCCTACAAAAGTCCTCATAGGGACCAACCTGGTGCAGTCCCCCTTGTCTTACATCCAAATTCCTAAAACAGGCCTTTCTTATTTCTCTGCATGCAGGTCCTTCTCCTCCCAAGCCATCCTGCATATCAGTTGAATCAGTACACACTAAAATATTTCCCACTGAAAATACTGCCCTATGAAAATCCAACATGAGAAAGATCTGCTGAGCAAACGGATGATATAACTATAGTAGATACTTGATAGCATGTCTTTTAGGAATAAAAATACAGGCTTCAGGAATAAAACCTGTAGACTATTAATAGGCAGTTGTCACTATGTTACATGCACTATTACTAACTTATTTCTCTCCTGTGATGAAGCAGTCAGAAGTAGTGAGACTTTATCTACAGTGTGATTATATCCATATGAAAATGGAAGCACCAAATGCCTTTAAAATTATTTTATAATAGCCCTTTCACTAAGTCACAAATTTATCACTAAAAGCACAGTAGTCCCAAAACAATTAGCTGCCAGTCTCACAGGTGTCAAATCAGTATTTGGTCCATTGAGCCGAAATATTTTCTAATTCAGGGCACTAATTTCTCTCAATTCCATAAAACTGGCAGATAATTAGTACTTACAATTTGCCAAACACTTCATAGCTGACAGTACCCAATGAGGAAGTTCTTCTGCAGGAGAAATAAAAATAAAAAGATTTTTTTTTCAATTCTATGTAACTCAATTTTATATATATATATATATAATTAAGAATGCATTACTTGCCCAGGTAATATGAACATATGACCAATTTTTGCATCAGAACATTTCAAAGATAGAATTAATTCTTAGCAGAAGTGTTACAACCTGTACTTTGATAAATGACACCTACAAATTTCTCTAAGGACAATATGCACCATTAGAAAAAAAAAAATTGGGTAGTTTGGCCCAGAGAAATAAATCAACAGACAAATCAGTTAACCCTAAAAATTATGAAAGGCCAAGAAAATTCAGAAGTAGCAAAAATAATACCCATTAAATGCATTTATGAAACAAAATAAATAAGCAAAAAGTAAATTATGGGCTGGGGGTATAGCTCAGTGGTAGAGCACAGGCTTTTCATGCACAGGGCCCTGGGAACAACACCCAATAACAACAACAAAAAGATACGTTCTTTTTTCTTTTGTTGTTTTTGTTTTAATGTAGATGGAAAACTTGCCTTTATTTTATTTGTTTATTTTTTTATGCAATGCTAAGATCAAACCCAAAAAAGGTACCTTTTGTAGATCCAATGTAAGTTTCATTTTAGCTATTAACATTTTAAAAATGCTTTTGGCAAAGAAAGTTTTACAGACAAGTTAGTATTAGGCTATTAAGTATTAGGATAGCCTTAAAATAATAGGAAAAAAACACTGCTTCAAAAAGTCCCAGCTGAGCCTTTTCAGTCTCTGTCCTGCCACAGACACTGATGAGAAGGACCAACACGCAGGCTTCTTGGGTAAAAATGGGAAGACAATTTTGAATTGAGTAAACCGGAGTCTCCTGAACAGGAGTTTATAATATCCTCTCTTCCCTAAAGAACTTAAACAAAAGATGACTGGTCAATAACTGTAACTGCAAGTGTGTGCTACACTCAGAGAATGGGGAAGGATTTAGATGTACTTCTACAAAACTTAATGTTATATGGTGATATTAACTCAAAAACTCACAAAGTCACCACAAATCTATTTCTGCCTCCCATTGTCCTCCATTCCTGATAGAAGGGGTATGAAAGAGAAAGTGTTTCCATTTTCAAAGACAGACTCTGCTCCTGCTAGGTGACATGGCCTAGAAACGCCTCCTGTCCTCTTACAACTGCTCAGGCTCCTTCTGGTACCCTCTGTCTGCTGCTTAGGAGCCTCAAGCCCTGAATTTAATGTTTTATAAAATCCCAAGATGTATTATACTTACTATATTCTCACATCCAAAGGTCATTTAGTTCCAGCCAATCCTCAGCATCAAGAATTGAATTAAAAGATAAAACCAAAGAATAAAATAAAAGCACACAACCAATTCTGGTTCAACCCTCACCCGTAGGAAGAAAGTTATTTTGTTTGTTTTTTATTTTTCTTTTTAAATTTACATGACAGTAAAGTGTTTTTTGGCATATATACATACATGGAGTATAACATTCTAATAAGTATCCCATTCTTGTGGTTGAACATGATATGGAGTTACCCTGGTCATATATTCATATTAACATAGGAAAGTTATGTCCAATTAAAACAAACCTATGGATTGTTGGGCACTATAGGCATCACTATACTATAGTGATATGACTATATATTTCCAAATCAAAAACTGGGTTAGGTAGAAATGTCTTTTTCTTCCCTCCAATTTATAAATGGGTCTGGAGGAAAAGGTATGAAATACCCTCAATATTTAAAGAAATACCTTGTTTTAAAAAAATGACATAAATCAAGAAGACTATACCAGGTAATCTGATACAAAGACATATCATGAAAAAGTGAGCCAGAAGCTAAAGGCAATGGCTCTGAGCCCCCATGTTAAAACTGACTCACTTGGTTAGGTCTTAAACATCCTTACTTTCCAGAGGGTTTTACTTAGAGATAACACAGAACCACTTAGTGGTAGGTGGGGGCAGGGGGGTTACAATGAACTAGCCTCTAGATGGATTCTGCTAAGGTTTTCCTTCTGGATACTCATCTCTCCATGACATTTTCTTTATTCAAAAAATTAGCCAAAAGTTTATTTTTTATTTTTTATTTTTTTGTTTGTTTAAGTATTGTGCAATGAAAGAAAGATATATGAAAGAAAGGATAAAGTTGCTTAGGTTTAGGGAAGGGTCAAAGAGGAGCTGATGGATCTGCAGAGCCAATGTGCCAGGTCAACCAAGAACAAATGGTTTTCATGCACTTACTTGACTTGTCATCAAGGATAACCACTCCCTGCTTGCTAACACTATATACGTTATGGACGATGAACTTGGAGTTGACAAATTTGACATCTAAAACTTCTTCTAAGGAGTCTAAGCCAAGGATTTTCTGTAAACTAGAAGATAAATAATAATCATTATTAACCTTGAAACCTGGTGCTGCAAAACGTTATTCTTTAAAGGGCATTATTGTCATGCACTTTACCCAATCATTGAAGGCAAACTTAGCAGAAATGGAATATAATTTAAAAATAAAAACCTTAAAATATATCCTTTTGCCATTAACATACTACTTTAATGATTCAGTAATACAATGCTTTGAATTCCAAGAAAATAATTTTATAAGAAAAAATATTATACAATCAAAAACTAATTTATCCAATGATGACAAACTGCTACTAGTATATCTTTGTGAGAAATAATAATTGCTGTAAACTCTTAACTTCAATTATACTTATAGTTCTTCATACATGAGACCAAATTTTCCCTTGTGTTTATTGTTTAAGATTTCAATGTTACTCAAAAGTTAAACTCTTAAATTCCTATTTAAATAGCAATAGAAAATCTTCAGAATTTAAATTGTTTGCTAAACATAGCTACAGATTATGCAAAAGTTGAGATTTTTTTACATAATTTCAGAAATTAAATATGCAGAGAATAATGAAGATACAAAACAGAAAACAAAATCACTAAAATTTCTCATAGATATCAAGTGTACATACTATGATAATGTCATAGACTTCCATATTTCTTCTACATTGGCCTCTGTCAGCTGTCTGCGGTGGACAAGACGGCAAGCAGGCACCTCTCCAATAGCAATACTGTGACGCTTGAACCACATCTCAGAATTCTAATTTGGGAGGTGGGGAAGAAGGAGGAAAGGAAGGAGAAGGAATAGTAAGAGAGAATAAATCTTTCAATATATAGGGTATGATTTGATAGGAATAATTTAAGATAAATAATTACAATTACAAACTAACTTTCTTTGTGTGGACCAATGAGAAATAAGTAAAGGACTCTTAAGATTAGGTCATATTATAGACGAATGTTTATAAATTACAAAAGAACAACATCAATAAGCATGACAGTAAACAGTACCTACCTTCATTTACTATGGTAATTTCAACTACTCAGTGAAGCCGAAGTGTCATTAATATAAAAACAATTTTTTTTGAAATGGGGTTTTGCTAGGTTGCACAAGCTTGTCTGAAACTCCTGGGCTCAAGGGATTCCCCCTGCCTCAGCCTCCAAAGCAGCCAGAACCACAGGCATGGTCCACCACACTTAGCACAGTAAAATAACTTTTTATTTTTTGAGACGTGGTCTTGCTGATTGCTGAGGCTGGTCTTGAACTTGAGATCCTACTGTGTCAGCCTCTGGAACATCTGGGATTATAGAAGAATGCCACTGTGCCCAGCTCATAAAATAATTTTTCATTAATTTACAATTAAATTGAGGAATACCTATTCAAATCCACACACTGTCCAAATTGAGTGATTAATTAAAATAAAACTAAAGTAGATTACTTTGACAAATTTTCTAAAGCAAATGTCAAATAAATACACTATTGGAAAGCAGCTCAAAACTGGCATCTGCCAAAAGAGAACCAAGAGCTCAAGGACAGCTGAGGGCACCAGAAGAGAAGGAATGAACCCCTTTCCACAGAGGAAAAAACTAAAGCTTAGAGGGGTTAAATAATTTTCCCCAAGTCACTCAGCTCTGCCACATTATTCTTGGGAGCTCACATTTAGACTACTAGACATAAGTTACAAAACTTTCTTTTCATAATCACAGAGAAGAATTTGGACATTTAAAAGGCAATACACGGGCTGGGGTTGTGGCTCAGTGTAGAGCGCTTGCCTAGCATGTGTGAGGCACTGGGTTTGATTCTCAGCACCACATAAAAATAAATAGTTTTTTTTAAAAAAAAAGGCAATATATATAAGAAATCACAAAGAATTTCTATGATTTTTTTTTTTTTACAAAAAAAAAAAAAAACAGAAAAATCTTACTTGTAAAAAAAGGAGAAGGAATTTTCTGGGATTTCTTTTTTTTCTTTTTTTTTTTTTATGTGTGTGTGTTGCTGGGGATTGAACTCAGGGCCACGTGCATGCAAGGCAAGCACTCTAATAACTGAGCTATATCTCCAGCCCTGGGATTTTTTTTTTTAATTGGTTTTTGGTTTTGCTTTTAAAGAATTACTGAACTACAAAAGAAATTCAAAGGCCACATGGATGTGTGAATTTCTAAGCATCCAAAACAGGTGTTTTAGAAGGAAAAGTTGGAGGTAACAACATTTGTCTAGCAAGTCTACTTACAAATCTTTCCTAAAAAAATACTCATGAATATATTCAAATAATTGTCTGTAAAGGTATTGCTTAGCACATTGTTTATATGTTGAAAAACTGCAAATACTGTAAACACCTAACAATAAAGGTGTAGAGAAGTAAAATATCAATTTTATATTGGACATGAGGGAGGCATTAAAAATAATGTTGGATGTTGAAAAGCATGAAAACAATGAGCATAGTACGCTGTTGTAAGTGAAGAACTCAGGCTCCAAAACAGCCCAGCATGACCTCATTTCTGAGTTAAAAACATGCATAGAAAAAAGGATATACAATAAAAATATTAATAATAGAAATTCTCTCTAGGTAATATTATGAGTAATTCATTTTCTTCTTTCTCTTCCTATAAACAATTCTATGAAATAATTTATTATGGCAATAGTTCTTAATGCTGAGAAACTGTGTATCAGGTGCTATTCTAAGCACCTTTTTTTCTCCTTTGAAATATATTTTAATTAAGAAGTGCTAAAAAGTAATCTGAATTGTTATTCTTTATTATAACTAAAAAAACACAACCAAAGGAAGTTGTGAAATTTGTAACAGGTGTTTGGGGTCATTAAATATAAGGGTTCTCCTTTTCCTTGGGATAAACATCATCTACTCCTTGAAATGTATTACTACCATAAAATTTCATAATATAGATATCAGTGTAAAAATGTATAATAGTGGGCTTGGGTTGTGGCTCAGTGGCAGAGGGCTTGCCTTGCACTAGTAAGGTACTGGGTTTGATCCTCAGCACCACTTAAAAATGCATAAACAAAATAAAGACATTGTGTCCATATATAAGTAAAAAATATTTTTTAAAAAATGTATAATAGTTCTATAACTAAGCTTTTTATAATTTAGCATTAAATGTAACTTCTTACATGTTCCCAATTTATATAATAATATATCAAGAAACTGACAAAAATTTAAGAGTTCTTTTTCTTAGCAAATTAATACAAACTTAGCCTCACTTTCATACTGTTACAGAAATATCTATACTATACCATGTATTATACATTCCTTACTGAGTCAATACAAATTTCAAATGTGCAATATTAAATGAATTCTACCTATTCAAAGTAAATTTTTAAAAAATAAAAAATATAGTAGGTAATGATCATCACATTCCACCATTATTAATTACCCCATGTCTCCCCTTCCCTTCCAACCCCTCTAGATAGAGTTTGTCTATTCCTCCCATGTTCCCACTCCCTATATAAATTTAAAAAATACATAAAAATATAGTAGGTATCCCTTAAAATACACAATGGAGACATTCCCAGCACCTTGTAGGTACGAACTCAACTCCATCTCCACAGCAACCCTACCTTGGAGGGATGAATATACTGATCAGAGAACTCAGACACAAGCACATGGATGATACAGAGACACAAGCTCAAACAGCCACAACCTGGAGAAGCCACAATTTGTACCCAGCAGTTTGGCACCAGAGCCCACACAGCAAATAACCATATTTACTTTATTTTATTTTATTTGTTTGGGTTTGGTTTGAAATAATGGCTATGTAAGATAGCCAAAACATAAACCAAAAACAAACAAACAAACAAGCAAACCGAAGACAGAGACAGAAAGAAAAAGTAAACAACAGAAAAGAACAAGCTCAAGTTTCATAAAGGATGAAGTGTTTATTAATTGACAACTTCATCATTCTAAAACTTCATCAAGGGCCCCACTGAGGACACTTCCTGCTCTGCCATTTCCCTTTGAACTATCCTAAGAAGCAGGAGCCCAAGCTTTGGTGGAATGATTGTAGGCATGCAGCCCCTTCCCTACACTTTAGGAGTTTTTGTTTTATGCAAAAGATTTATCGAGTGTCCCTGTGTGCCAGGCATCATGCAAGGCTCTACAAAGACAGTAATGTGTGAGAAAACAGTTTTATGTATAAAACAAACAGGGAGTGCAGCCCCTTCCCTACAAATAAGGGGTTGGGGGGGTGTGGAATACAAGCAAAGGCAGGACAAAGTCACAAATAAATAAAAAGAGATATGGATACAAATGGCCAGGGAGAAACATAGGCTTAAGAGGAGGCTGGTAAATCTGGGACTCTGGCATATCAATTCAGATCTCCCCAGAATTAAAACTGAAAATAGAAGTTGCTGTTTTTAGTGCAAAGCCCTGAACAATGGGTTGAGATGTTCTATTGAACACTTGGGTATTCTTAGTGGGGGCACCAGAAACATTATAACTTCACAGAACCAGGTAGAACAGAAGAGGGAATCTTATCAGTGGCATAAAAGCACATTGATATGAGATTCTATCTCTATGTAAACAATACTGGATGGGTTTTAAATGAAAAAGTGATTGTTGAATAACAACTCTACAATCATATTCCCCGGTGTTCAAATTCAAATGTTCTAAAAACATACCTGATCTCTTAAAATTTATATTTTAATTTTCTATAGGATAAGAACTATTGACTGCACCTTGACTAAGTACTCCTAATTGGACATAAATAGTCCTCTAATAGCACTCACTCTTCCGTGTACTTTTTATTGTGTGCTTTATTGGACAACAAGTCCTTTCAGAATAAAAACTGTCACACATTACTGTCTTTGTAGAGCCTTTCATGATGCCTGGCATGTAGAGACACTTGAAAAATATTTTGCATAAATAAGTTTAAGCAAAGGGAGACATCAAATACAGCATCCCCTCTAAGTTCCAGGGCCATTGTCCCTATCTGCCTGTGAGACACCTACATTTACTACCATCCATGTTTATCATCAAATTTATCACCATTCCTGACACATCCACAAGTTCCCTACAGAGTCCCCATTTTTGTCACTGGTATCACTCTTTTCCTTGTAATCATTTAGATAAAAATCTAAGCTTCTTAACTGTTTTCTCCAAAATGAGACATTCTACAATTTCTTCAGGGGAAAAAAAAAAAAAAAAATATATATATATATATATATATATATATATATATATATATTTGTATTTATATATATATAATATATATAGTTTCTTTTAATTACTTGGCCTAAAAATAGTTTCATCATATCTTTACAAACAAAATTATTTTGGCTGTCTAGTTGCATAAGATTAGATTAACTTAAAACCATAGGTTAGCAAAATTCTTTAAAATCACCTTATCAAAGTTTTTCTCTGTATTTTATTTTTTAGCATTATCTCAATCTTGGTAGTCATCAACTAGGGATATTTTAAGGAGAAGATATGTAAAAGAAGAGTGATTCTAATCCACAGTGAGCTGAGGTTTTCCTACACTAGAAGAATCTGTCTTTGTTCATATATTGTGTCAAGGATCATTCTACAATATATCTTGCCCTACCCTTCTTACTTTCGACTATTAATAATAACAAACTTCAGGAGAAAAAAAAACAGAAGAGATGTAAGTCATGGAGCAGACAAGAAAAAAAAGGATTGCAATGGGAGTTTTAACAGATATTTGCTCTGACTGAACATAAGAAAACAGCTACCACATATTCTGTCAAACTGTCGATGGGTAAGAGTGAAAAAATGTAAGAGCCGATCTTTCTTGGTTAACTATCTCTCAGCTGTTGACAGGTATGATATTGTCTTATAGTACTTCAAGGCCATTGTTCATAAGGCACTAACAGAAGCAACCGGACCAAACCTGGGCATTATCAGATAATGTCTTTTAGTCACAGCACTTACCAGCACAACTGGCCTCACTGGGATGTTCTCCTTCGAGGTGCCCGGTGGGAGATCATTCCATTCTGGAAATTTAATAATATTCTTTTGGTATAGGGGCTTCTTTGGATACGGCTTCAGGGGTGAAGAAGGAGGAAATCTAAAAATCCAGAAGAAATGTTCTATTATTAGGATAAGTGGGAAAACCAGATTATTTTAATAGTAGTTCCCACATTTTGCATAAGAATTCCACACTTTAGATAATAAATGATCTTATACTTCATCAAATTATTACATGGCTAATTGTATCCAATAATAACAAATTTTTACAAAATATTCATTATGGGCTGGGGTTGTGGCTCACTGGTAGAACACGTGCCTTGCATGTGAGGTACTGAGTTCAATCCTCAGCACCACACAAAAATAAATAAATAAGATATTATATCCATCTACAACTAAAAAATATTTTTAAAAAATATTCATTACCTCTAGATAGGGAAGAGAGGTGGGGGAGAAAGGGAGGGAGAATGGGAATTGCATAGAAGAGGGAAGGAGACCCTCTTCGTTATATAGAATACAGGTATGACGATGTGAGGAAAAAAAAAAAAGAAGTGAGTCACATTAGATTGGGTAGAGAGAAGTGATGGGAGGGGAGGGTAAGGGAAGGAGGGATAGGAAGGACAGCAAAATAAAATAGACATTATTATTGTTGTGGGTATATACATGACTGCATGACCAATGTAATTCTTCAACCTGTACACTCAGAAAAGTGAGAAATTATAACCCATCTGATTCAAATACATTTTAAAACAAATTAAAAAATGGAAAAAATATTCATTATGCCCCTCAAAATTTACGGAGAAAAACAGCCATCAAATATGTGATATTGTTAAAAATAAATAAAACTTGTTCCCTTGTCAGGATTTTTATGATTAAAAATGCTGTTAATGGGAGGCTTAGCCCTTTGTTTTACTCAGCTTGAAATTCTTAATGTTCATAACTCAAGCCAAAACTTGTAGAAATAGAAATTACTGATAGCAAAATCCTCAAGAATACTTACTGAATAATACATTAATATGGAAGTCATTTGGCCTAGTAATCACTTTTATAACTGCTTCTAATAAAAATTAACCCTCCTTCTTTTGAATATCTAACAATTCACACTGAGATTTAAGCTTCAGTCTAGAAATCTGTCCAGAAGGAGCTAGAAAGCTGCCCAGTATCTTTCTTCTGCTTTTCTACACAGCTTCCCTGTTCCTAGCCTTCCTGCATATCAGTAACATCACTTTCCGAACAAGCACACACAAGCCTACATAAATTCCAACTCTCTAAAATGGTCTATACCATAACTGATAAGGAACTGAAACTAAATATTTATTCCTCAGAGGATCTTTTTTAAATAAACTCGTTAGAAAAGAACACATTGCAAATGCATTGCATGGCTGCGGGTGTAGCTCAGTGGAACAGCACTTGCCTAGTATGCACAAAGCTCTGGGTTCCATCCTCAGCGAAAAAGAAGGAGAAGAAGAATGTGGAAACAAAGAATTTTAAAATGTCTATACTTTTCAAGGAATGTTTATATCAAGGTAAATCTAGAGAATCATAAATAATAAGAGCACTCTGGAGATATTTTCAAAAAACAGTCCCAAGAGACTTGAAAAGTAATAACTAATAGAGAAAAGTTGAGTTTCATCTTCTCTAAAAAAATATCCAATAACTACTTTCACAGTGAGAAAAAAAATGAGGTCTGAAAATCATTAAAACAAGTGAAAGATAAATAAACCAAAAGATAGTTTAAAATCAAGTTACCAAAGAAGTTTTTCCAAGAGTCCAAACTACATGAATTTGTAAAGCCAGTCAAAAGTACATCACTGTGTAAGTAAAGGCTGACTTACAGAACTCAAGTCTAATTTCTTGGAAGCCAACAATAATGACAAAAGTTCTATTTCCAGCCAAACTATAGCACTCAAATATACAAAGCATACACACATTCACATACACATACAATATTATATATAATCTCAGGAATTAACAGACTACCCGCCTCTCGGTCCTTTAAAAGTTAAACACAATGCCTACCCCATCACCAAAACCCATGGCTTACTCTCCCACTTCATTCCCTCAAATATGGTGTAAAATTTTTAGACCTGAGTTCCAGGCTTAGCTTTCTCGTGAATTATCCATATTGCCTTTGAAAGAGAAAAGTCTCAAATAACCCAATCAATAAATGGGCAAAGGAACTGAACAAGCACTTCACAGAATACGATTGTCAACAAATATATAAAGAAATGTTCAACATCTCTAGCAATTAGAGAAATGCAGATTAAAACTACACTGAGATTTCATCTCACTCCAGTCAGAATGGCAATTATCAAGAAGACAAGTTACAATAAGTGCTGGCAAGGATGTGGGGAAAAGCCACACTCACCACACTCATATACTGCTGGTAGGACTGAAAATAGGTTCAGCCACTATGGAAAGCAGTATGGAGATTCCTCAAAAAACTTAGAATACAACCACCATTTGACTCAGTTATTCCAATCTTCAGTGTGTATCCAAAGGACTTCAAATCAGCACACTACAGTAACACAGCCCCATCAATATTTATGGCAGCTCAATTCACAATAGCTAAACTGTAGAACCAACCTAGGTGCCCTTCAACAGATGAATAGATAAAACTGTGGTGTGTATGTATGTATGTATGTATGTATATATATATGTATATATACACACACACACACATACATACATACACCATGGAATATTACACAGCCACGAAGAGAATGAAATTATGGCATTTTCCAGTAAATGGATGGAACTAAAGACTATCATACTAAGTGAAATAAGCCAATCTCAAAAAAAAAGCAAAATCCAAATGATCTCTCTGATATGTAAATGCTAACTCACAATCGAGGGTCAGGGGTAGGAAAAATAGAAGTACTTTGGATAGACAAAGGGGAATGAAAGGAAGGGAGGGGGAATTGGAGGAGGAAAGACAGTAGAATGAATCAGAGATTACTTTCCTATGTTCATATATGAATACATAACCAGTGTAACTCCACATCATGCACAACCAGAAGAAAGGGAAGTTGTACACCATATATGTATAATAGGTCAAAATACATTCTACTGCCATGTATTAAAAAATGAAAAAAAGAAAAGGGAAAGTTTCTAAATAACAATTTATTTCATTTGTCAAATAAAAAAATAAATTGGATGAGTTATTAATTCTTTTAGGTTCAAAAATATGCTTCTTTCATTTCCATACCAAGAAACAAATAATGTCTTCCAAAGATCAAAGCAGAATTTCTTATATGCAGAACAATAATTGAAGATATGTCAAGGAGTCACTTTTCCACCCACCATGAGAAGATGGGATCTTTGCCATGAGTAGCATCTGCAGCTATCAACAGCAGGCACACTGTTTTCACAGCAGGCTGGCAATCTTGCCAGAGACAAAAATGCCAAGGAGCTCCCTCCAGTGGACTACTTTTATTTTGTGCACTGAAAATTATTAATTTAATCCTAACATTTTAATCATGTAGTCTTTGCTGGAAAACCTGTTAGAGATGACCTCATTCAAATACCACATTTTTCACATAGAGAAACAAAGATCCAAGCAACAAAAGTAACTTATTAAAGTCTCACAGCTAGGACTGGGGCTGGGGCTCAGCAGTAGACTGCACTAGCCTGGCATGTAGGGGCA